TCCTTCCCTCCTCCCTCCTCCCTCCCTCCTGCCTTTGTCCTTCCTTCCTTCCTTCCCTCCTCCCTCCTCCCTCCCTTGCTCCGCTCGCTCCCTCCCTCCATCTGCTCCTCCCTGCCTCCCTTCTTCTGTTCCTTCCTTCCTTCCTTCCTTCCTTCCTTCCTTCCTTCCTTCCTTCCTCCCTCCCTCCCTTCCCCCCTTGCTCTCTTCCTTCCTTCCTCCCCTCCTCCTTCCTGGCGAGCGTAGAGACTGACCTTCTGCTGTCTTTTTTAAGATCTTCCAACCCTCTTGTCGCGTTACCCTTGGCAGCGGCAGAGGCTAATTTTCATGTGATTAAATTGGATTTTTTTTTTTTTTTTAATTGGATTTTGAAGTTTTGAACAGAGAAAACATTGATGTGAATCCAGCCGGAATGGCCTTATCCGAATGTATCAGATCTGATTTCATCTGATCCACTCCAATCCCATCTGCTCCAAACAGTGAATGGCTCCCCGTGTGACTGGTCGGCAGACCGCCGACTGGTTGGCACTATCGGTAGGCTGCAAAACGGTGGGCGGTGGGGGCCGGTGGTCGGCTGGGATGCAATTCTGGCAATGATGTAGTTCTCGGCTACCATGTGCATTTCTTTTTTTTCCTTTTTTTTTCTTTTTTCTTTTTCGGAGTTTCTGTTGCCTTGTTCTTAAATCCTTTGTTCCCTGGTCTGTTGTTTGGTTGTGTGAAATCCAATTCAGTCCCTTCCTCTGGATGGTTGCCGTGGGCATGCGACGTCTCGATATTGTCAGTGCCATGCAGGTGCGGCGAATTGAACCGGTGGAATGGGCGGTGTTCCTGCCCGTGATCCTGTGGAATACATCTGGGTGAGTGTTGTGATTAAAATTTCGAAAGTTGAACAAAGAAAATGTGAGATGCCTTTTCAATGTTGATCAGTCTGCTGGTTGTTTGGCTTTTTTTTTGGGAAGTTTTTCCGGGCCTTGGAGGCTTTTGTTTTGTGTGCTCTGAGAGGGACTGCAGGACAGAGGTCCAAGGGACCGGATCTGTTCCTAGTTTTAATCCTCTTCCTCTGAAGTGTAAGCTAATAAGCTGGCTGATGCTGTCAGTATGGTTCTCTGTGTCAAATTTTTGGGATCCCCGCCCCGTTGTTGAAACCGTGCAATATAAAAAGACTATGGTTAAAAAAAAAAAAAAAAAAAAAAGTTGATGTGTCTTTGTTGTATTGTAAGGGACGCTGGACCCAATTTCCAGCAGGTGAAGCTCCCCACCCATAGACTGAAGCAAATCTTAAACCATTCTTCATTTTGTTGCCACCCGCCAGGCAGTACCAGATTTGTCCGACATCGTAATGGGCTTTTTTTTTTTTTTTTTTTTTTTTTTTTTTTTTTTTTTTGAGAAAGTCCTGCTGTCACTGCCCTCTCTCTCTCTCTCTCTCTCTCTCTCTCTCTCTCTCTCTCTCTCTCTCTCTCTCTCTCTCTCTCTCTTTAATGCTCCATCTATTGGTGGGGAGCTGCCGAGAGTGTCTCAATTAATTCCTTATCAGGAAGTTCATGAACACATACTCCTCACCCTAGCCTTACGAGCACTCCTGGCACCTTTTTTTTTTTCTTTTTTTTCCTTCTTCATCCTCTGAAGGTCAACTGTTGGAGGTGATAAGAGAAGACCCATACAGTAGGCCACCTGTGTTGATGGCTCCAATGATCCAATCTATTGGCCGGGAGCTCGACCTGCTGGAACCTGGGTTCAGCGTCCAATGTTTACACAGAAAAAAGAGCTACTCAGAGCATGATCAGCGTCGCTGTGCGTTGCTGATGCTCCTACTTCGGGTGTGGTGTACCTTGCCAACTCTTCATCCTTACTTGGTTCTTTTCGCATGTACGTACTATGAGGGTTAATTAGTTCACGTTGGTGTGTGTAGTGGGTATTTGGTTTCCGTTTCTTTGCATGTGAGCTAGTTAGGGTTCATTCGTCCATTGATTGTTTAGCTGTTTTTTGGGTGGAGTTCTGTCTGTCTTTTTGAGTGTGTAGGGTTGGCGGTGTAGATTTCTGGTTGCTTTTTCCTTTTGATGGTTTGAGTTGGTTTGTGTTTTACTGTTAGGGTTGGCGATGTTAATTAGTGTTAATTAGGGTGTGATGTTAATTAGAGTTAATTAGGGTGTGACGTTGCAGGCTGACGGGTGCTCAGCCGCGGTCGGGTTAATCCAGGCCGGAGAGCCTGGTTCATCCCTGCAGGCCATGGTTATTGATGTGAGGGATGCTGGGCCCGTTTCCCAGCCTGTGATGATTGATATACTCCTTTTTTTGTAAAAATAAAATTCACACTAAGCCCTCAAAGTTGCAAAATCCCAAAATGAGCAGCCAGATCGAGTCCTTGTAAGTGAAGGACTAGGTCTGGCCACTCATTTTGCAATTTTGCAATTTTGAGGTCCGAGTGTGAGTATACTCTCAGCTAATTGTAGGATTGCAAGTCAAAACGAAAAAAAAAAAAAAAAAAAAAAAAAAAAAAAAAANAATTTTGAGGTCCGAGTGTGAGTATACTCTCAGCTAATTTTTGGCTTTCAAGTAAACATATAAAAACAAAAAAAAAAAAAAAAAAAAAAAAAAAAAAAGGATGGCAGGTAATGAGCAGCATTGATTGCCCTTCCGTGAGGGGATTGACTGCACATTGGACTCGGCAGTTTTTATTATTATTATTTTTTTTAATCTCTGGAATTTTCACTTTCTTCCGTTTTCGGTATTTGTAATTCTTTTTTTTTTTTTTTTTTTTTTTTAAGAAAACTCAGATCCTGGTCTGATATGACCTGTTTTTTTTTTTTTTTTTACTTTGTGCAGAGAATGGAGGACATATTTTGTGGGTTGACCGAGCGTTTGGCACTTTCTGGTCCTACCAAAACAGCTACTGGTCCCTTTTCTGCGCTGTCTTTGAAGGGGGGATGTATCCGGTCATGTTCATGGACTACTTGTCGTACCTTGTGGGAATGTGAGTGGGTCAGAGTCTCCTCCTCCTCCTCCTCCTCCTCAGTAATTATCTGTTTGTTTTTGTGTTTATGTATGGCATAATTTTCATAACCTGTCTTTGAACATGGGAATCATTTGTGGGACGGCACTTACACATGATGTAATTCATCGAATGCCCCTCTTTTTTTTTTCTTTTTTTTTTTTCAAGTTACTATGTCAGACTTCAGAAAAATTCAGACCCCTATCCCCACTCCGGCAAGTCTTACCGCAGCAGAGCCACCATCTCTGCTGCTGCTGTACCTTATTACCATCCTACCAGCTAGCCCCCTCACTAGTAGGACGCTTGATATCCAACCTTCTTCACCCACTCACCTGGGCAAAATTTCAAAAACGTCTCGTGACTACAACAAGAATTCAGAAAACAACTCAGAAAGACCCCCATCGAACCTCTTTACCTCACTCCGGCAAGACTGACTGCAGCAGAGCCACCATCTCTGCTGCTGCTATGCCCTACTCCCATCCTACCAGCTAGCCCCAGGAGCATGAGAATAGGCCGCAGAGGTCCTGCAAATGTTCCAAAACCGTCAAAATCCCTCACAAACCCTACCAAAGTCCTCCAAAGCTGTCTTACTCCCTGCCGAGCTCTTCCGGGCCTCGCACCCCCTCTCCTGCTGGGTTACAGGGCTACGCAGTTCACCCCAGCTCCGGCCATCGTCATCCCCGCAGCACCCTTGGATGTCCAGTGGAATGCCCACCCCAATGCATCCCCAGATCTCTCTACCAGGCGTCACGCTCCTGCGGTGCAGGTTACAGCGCAACTCCCCAGCACCGGCCAGCGTCGTTCTGGCATCGAACAACTGCAGATCACTGAGTATAACAGCGTCGAAGCCACCTTAGGTCGAGTTAGTAGGAATCCCAGAGTCCTAAAACATTCCAGGACCACCAAACGACCAACTCTTATTAAGATTTTCGTCTTGAGATCTATGAGAGCGGGGGGGGCAAAACTAAAACTGCCTACTATCCTAAACTCCCCCCCCTCAACAGACGGAGTGTCAGTCCAGGCTTTCAGTCCTCGTACCAGAATTCACTTGATCTCATACCCCCTTCTGCTAGGGTAACAGGGCACCACAACCCTCCCCAGTACCGACCAACCTTGTTCTGACGGACAGGAAGCGCCTTCCTCCCTCGACACTTCCCCTAGCGCCAAGCCCCTAAACAGGTTACAGGGTCAATACCTCGGCGCCGACCACGTCGGACGGTCTGGTTATGCGTTCAGCATAACTTCACAGGCCTCAAGCCCCCCTTGGGTCACAGAGCACAAGCTCCAGCACCGGCCTGTGTCGTCCCAGCACATCCTTCTGACCTACTTATCCTAACGACAACCTTCCTCTGATGAGAACCCCTTTACTACCTCCCATCCTCCAATTCTAGCTTCCCCCCCTAATTTTTCGAATGGAAAATCCTTCAGAAGCCCACTTTATGAGATTGAAAAAAAAAACGAAAACACTTGGAAAAAACAAAAACACTTGGAAAAAACAAAAACACTTGGAAAAATACTAGGAAGTTAAGATTTACAGGCATAGAAAATACTTCGGAAACATACTTTTAGAAATTGAAAATTGGGACAAGATTAAAAAATCTATCTGAAACATCATTGAAAATTAAAATTACAAAAAGAAATGAGAAATTTATCTGAGATGTCCAATATTGGACTCACGATATAAAAAAGAGGAAAGTAATCCTGATTGTATATTTCGGAATTAATTTGGAATGTAGAAGAGAATAAGGGTTTCAAATTTCAATACCTAAAAAATATTTCAGAATTTTCTATCCTATCTATAGGGAATTACAAATTGAGGTCACCATCCCCAACGAATGACAGTGAAACCATAAGACTCTCAAGTAAGATACTAAACTGAGTCGACCACTTATAGGAACGTAATTAGTGTTATCGAATTAGAATCTACAAGAAACATTACCTCAGAATTTGAAAACTTTTGTTATCGGAACATTTTCTGTAGATTTCGAATTGTAAGACAGCCAGGCGACGCGTGGGCTGAATCCTAATCCACTAATACAAGCTCCCATCCCTTCTTCCTCAACATAAACACTTACCTCCCACCTCTCACACCCTGCCCCTGCATCTTTGGGGAAAGGACTACCTTCCTCCCACTGCTAGCTTCCTTAGGCTCAAAGCAAAGCCAACACCGAAGATGTAAACGGCCATCTTCAATCCCTCGAAGGGAGAGAAAACAGTGTGACACCCCTCGCCAAGCCTGTTAACGAGTCGCCACAGGGGGTTCAAGCCACCCTAACTCTACATTTTCCATACTGTCGAGGAAGGGGGACGGATTTACGATGAAAACGAGGACAGCAGGCCCCACCTACCTAGTTCATAAGAAACAGCGATTCCACACCCCCAACTCCTCTCCTGCCGCATGACACCGTATCCCACCATTCCCTCATCACCAAGCTCTCCCGTGCCTACCCTTCTCTCGCCTCACGTCCTTACATCTTCACCCACCGCATCGCCTAGCCCTCCGGTCAGAGCCCCACGAAACTCCCCCATGAGAAGAAACACACGTACAATTCTTAAGATGAGATCGTTGGCAAAACATGCTGTACCTGCCCGCAACGTAAACACAGCTGGCTCCGCTATAACAGCTGCTAGATCTACTTTCGTCGTTGTAACCACCGTGTGGCGAGGCGATGAGATCTTGCGGGCCAGACAGCAGTAACTGGCCACGATGATTTCAGCTTTCACAACGTTCGAAACACGCGTACAATTCTTAAGATGAGATCGTTGACAAAACATGCCGTACCTGCCCGCAACGTAAACACAGCTGGCTCCGCTATAACAGCTGCTAGATCTACTTTCGTTGTTGTAACCACCGTGTGGCGAGGCGATGAGATCTTGCGGGCCAGACAGCAGTAACTGGCCACGATGATTTCGGCTTTCACAAGGCGAATGCCCCTCAAAGATTGGGTATTTACTATTTCGCCATTGCTGTTTGGGCTTGGCATTTTTTCCATATGGCCATACCGGGTGCCGGTTCAAGGTTTCCAGAGCCCGCGATTCTCGAGGTCGTTGGTTGTGAAGTTTTCTAGATGCCCCTAGTGACACCAGGCGTGTTTTCCGGTTGTCCCTGTATCTGTTTGGAGCCCAACTGAGGGCATACTCACACCAGGACTTTTCTGGATGTATGGGACGGCTTTTCCAACCTAGCCTGGATGCACCTGACTCCAATTACGTCCACAGAGAAGTGGAAAAAGTCCTCGTGTGAGTTGCCCTGAGGCCATTCCCTGGACCTAAGTGGCCGGTAGGAGGGCAAAATGAAAATGGCCAACTTTTTTTTTTTCTTTTTTTTCTTTTTTCTTTTCCCCTTGACCAACTTCTCGCACTGGCCCTGCCCCCATTTCAGGTCCATGATGCCTGTGTATGTGTTGGGAACTACCCATGCTGCCGCAGCCCTGCCACCAACTGCCGGCCCACCCCCTCCCCCCCCTCCACCCCCTCTTCCCCTGTAGATGATGCTTTCAATTCAATGCAAACAATACCCTTCCATTTAGCACAAAAAATTGAGAGAATTTTGAGGCCGATGAGAACCACCCTATCCTCAGAGAACCCGACAAAGAGTTCAGAACAGTTCTGATACAATCCAATATGTTTTTGTTTTTTTTTTGGTTGGAGCTGGCTTCTTTTTTTTTTTTTTTTTTCAAATTCGATCATCGTTCAGGGCCAGGTCTTTTACCCCTTGGCTGGTAAGAGCCCCGGAGGGTAGAAGCCGGCGAGTGTCCGATGGCTGCTCCTTTTTATTGGTAGGGAGCTGCACCTGCTGGAAACCGGGTCCATCGTTCCTTCCAATGAATAAATTTTTAGGTAACTCCTCAAAGTTCAGAGACTTTCTGCGGCTAACAGCAAACATGGGACCTCTTCACCCTAAGGGCGCCTGAGATGAGCTAGCAACTAGTCCCGCTACCCACTGTACCCAAACTTGTAACAAGTTAATAACCAATTCTGAGGATCAATAAATTCTGCAAGTAGCTCAGGAACTGAAGATCGGCCACTAGATAATGAACAGCAAAACCAATTCTGAGCAAGCCTTTCCTTTTGGCAACAACCGCCTTTCATTCTATCAACAACACTGTCATGGAGGTCAGGGACCTCTCAGCCAAGGTTCAATAATCTCTGTGTTCAATGATGTTCAATGATGTTCAATGGTTCAATGATGATTCTATGATTTCTCTCTCTCTCTCTCTCTCTCTCTCTCTCTCTCTCTCTCTCTCTCTCTCTC